ATAATATTAAAAGAACTTAAAATGTAAGATATTGAAGTACAAAGGAAAAATAAGTAATGGATTAAAAAAATTAATGAAATTTTCACAATAGTGAATTTAAATAATTAAATACTTAACCATCTAAATCCAAGTGGAACTCCAAAGTCCCATATCAGAAATCCATGATTTTCACATTTTCATGCATTACAAACGAGTAGCCTCCCAAACCAAAGTATAAAATAGACTATTTTAATCCTCAAAAAATTCTATGACAAGTTTAAAACACCCCTGGATTTAGAGGATTAACAAAAATTCATTAGAGTGTATGGGACTCTGGACTCCCACTCGGACTTAGAGGGTTAAAGAAATTCTAAGAAATATAAAAATTATTTCAAAAGTGAATACATACCACCAGGAAGGGAAACTGTCAATTCTAGAACATTTGATGTCAAATCTCCAACTGAAGTATCATTTTGTAATAAAAGACCAGAACAATACAGGTTGAATTCTGTATTTCCAGCACCCTCTACTTCCACAATTTTTTTCTGCAAAAAGTAATCGAAGATTTTTAACACTTTATTCTCAATCACAAAAAAATTCTAGAATCTAATCAGTTGTTTTCAAGAAATAGAAATCTATATTACTATCGGAATCAATTTTTTGCTTTTTGTAATGATTAGAAACTAAAGAATATAGATAAGAGAAATTACACTCTTATTGTTGTATCACAAATAAATTGTTTTTACTGTTTTATCACATTAATATTGCTTTTTATAAAAATTTCAAAGCTATTTGCTGTTTTATCATTGTTGACAGATAATCACGAATGATGATCAATAATAATTTATTTGATCACCAGCTCATAAATTTGTTCTTTAATATTGCGTCGTTGCTCCTTCCAAAGGCAAACAGTTGACTTCGGATTATCATTGCGACGCAATTACTAAATAAATAAGAATATACAGCAGAGTAACATGCATTGTAATAATTACTTATAACAAACAAGCTTAAAAGCATTTTAATTACTTATAATTAATAAATATAATATA